CTTGAATCATCAGACATGAGAGTAGAGTAGATAAGATCAATGTTACTGCTAAAAACCCCATCAATTTATACCGGTAAACTTATTGATCAGGCGATTTAGCATAATATGGAGTGGGTAGAGATTCGCCATTAATAAGGGTAATCATTATTTAAACAACTAAACAATATCACGATACAAGGTGGAAGGGAAAACATGTACAATTTCACCATGTAAGGTAATGAGAGAAATCTGATGCGGCCACTATTGACGATTAAAATGAGGTATTTGGGTAGAGAGAGGCAACGAACTACAGAATGCACCTGACACAAGTTATCTGCAGATTATATATTGATCGCAAGCTACCATGACCCGAGTGTATGCCATATTCGACCACTTCTACGATACTCACCTTACCTTTTCCTCTACCTTCATATCTGTCTCTTTACAACTGCGAATCACCCTTTTATTCCCTCCACTATCGACTTCTTGTGACTTTGATATTCCTTCCACATGTGAAGCCAGAAATCAGCTAAGTGGCTAATGATAACTATCACAGAGCCTGTCATTTGACATAAATAAATATACTAAAGTATTTGCAGTTCATTTTTCAGCTCACTTATCACTGAATTCATTCGTTGGACTTGGTTAAATAGACCATTTTTGCTGCACTTTTTGAAGCCATGACATTCAGAAGATAACTAACATATTTTATAATCAAATAGCAAGCCCAATTAATCCGACCATTTGTATGAAAGTGCTCCTGGGGCGAAGCAACGTTTTAATCAAGTAGTCGACCTTTTCTGAAGTACCTGAGCACGGGACTTGAATTTGGAGTTCGAGGTGAAGAAGAGGATGAATTATTGACAACTGGATTACTGTTCTCTTTAATTCCAGAAACACTTTGTCGTGCAATTTCTCACCAAGAGTACCTCACACCCTAAATTAATTAATTCGATTTCTAGATTTCTGGGTGAAATCATGTCCACAGATATTCGGATCTTATTTTCTAGATGATTCTAAGGACTGCCAAAGCGACCAATTGTGATTTTAATCAATTGCTCAAATGATCTATTAAATTCACGCTCTGTATCATGGTTCGTTTTCCGTTGTGGAAGTATACAATATCACCCGCCGCTCCCAAACTAAATTTTTCCCAATTCACACTAATGCCTGCCTCTCTGAGAAAAGCATTTTAATCAACATTTTATATCATTTGGAGGTTTAATATTGCAGTCAACGCTCTTCGAGAATGACCTAAAGTTAAACACATCAACGGTTGGAAAGTTGGATTTCTTTTGGCCAGAGAAGGTATTGTAGTGTTTCGAATCCGGAACACAGCAGAGCACTCTCATTCCCTAAGTAGATATGTATGATAAGGATCAAGGGATACCGAAATTTACAGAGTCGAAAACCGATGGGACAATTCATTTAGGACTACTGAGAGACACGTTTATGATAATTTTGAGCAGAATAACAGGCGATTCACAACACATACACATACACAGACACACCTTACTTTATGCATAGTTTCAACCAATCCTGGATTCTAGCTATCCCAAACCCAATGTTAACAAACAAATACAGTGGCACAAATGTTAAAGAAATAGAGAAAAGAAGTCAAATATCAGTCTCAAATATGTATAAATTCGTCATCAACAGGAATCTGGAATTGAGAGCTCGATAGTGACGGAACAAGGGTGGAATAAAACGGAAGGTGGGGATACACATGAATACAGAAGAGCTCGTTCAGAAAACGGTCAAATAATTGGACTTCCTTCTCAAGAGTTAAGAAAGGTGAAAATAGAGGGAGGGGAGGGAGGGGGGGGGGGTGGAGGGGCATGGGAGAAGACAATAACAATCCCAAAGGAATAGAGAGTGTGCGAGCGAGAGAGGCAGAGAGATAGAGAGGGTGGAGGGGGGGAGGGAGTGAGGGAGTGAAGGAGAAGATAAATAAAATGACCAACTTTCTAGTGTATTGAGCAAACGCAAAAGTGAGGTTGTGCGAGTCTGAATGTACAGAGAGTGATCTCGTCAACATCGTCGTTTCGTTCACCTGGAGACTAAATGAAGATCACAGTCAGAGCGACAATCACAATACAGATAGTTGTGGTAGCGTGGGGGGGGTGAGTGGGTGGGCATCGATTTGGCAATCACCTGTATGGACTTGTTTCGACAACAGCTACAAAATGGGGATAAAATCAACATAAGAAAGAGTCCAAGATTCTGCCACTCGATAAGAAATAAACAGTGCAAAATGCTCTTCCAAATGACATTCGGGTTAGTTATCGTAGCTACTTCCCATTCCTTCACACATCGAATGTCCTCGATATACACGCACTATATCCATTCAGCACATAGAGGAGATAGTATTTTAGCATGCTTTGGCGTTCTATAAAATCTTGGCTTTACTTGTCTTTTGGTGGCATCGCATTTGAGTTTAAACAATGGTCAAAAACTCACTTGCAGACGATCTCGGAGAGGAAGACCGTTGTGCAGCGGCCAAGGCAGCAGAAGAAGTGCGTAGAATTTGGCTCACCACCTCATCATGAGGAGCCCGAGAGGAATCAATAAAGCGCTGTTTGCGCCCACCTACTCCTCCGAAGTCTGCACTGCCCGTTGGAGTTGTAGCCGGAGCCTACATCAGCAAGGCAAATGAAAATGAACAAGGCACTAAAGCACAATACTAGTCATAGTTTAAAAGTCATCGAGGCATTCCAATGACATGCAAATAAACAAAACTTAATGCAAACGCACCAGTTCAGAAGGGAAGCACCTAAAAGAGGAAAGAAAAAGTCATATGTCAGTCTGCACAAAGAAAAAAGCGCAACCTAAGACAATTGTGCAATAATAGTGACAATAGAGAACAGACTCAACACAATACGTTGACAATGGACACGTATTGCATCCCTATTGTTGACCATTCCCAACCCCCAAACATCCCACATCCGATTAGACTGCTTTCTACAACTCACTAGAAATTCGAAGTAAAATGAGAATAATGCCTTGAAGATCTGTTTGGCACAGATTGTTCATAAAAAGAAGTGGATTATTCCTAAACTTACGACTTTGTAATCAATAGCTCGTCAGTTGGAGAGACCGACGTTAGTACAACAGGAGTGGCACATCACTTATTTGTTCTACACGATTTCGCGTATATAAATTCCTATTACCCATAGCACAGTCCACACAGGCTTGTGGTTGAAAAGTGAAGACACTAGGCACAATGGATAATTCAATTTAATCTCACAATTCTACAGAAGCCCATAGAATTGAATGCCTGCCAATGTCATTATTTTCTAATTCAATCTCAGTCCGTTTGAAAGTGAATGAGCCAATTTAATGGTTGTCAAAAAATATTTTCCCATCCAAAATTAGCTTTTCTTAAGCAAGTTAATGCAAATGTTTCAAAATTGGGAGGACATTAGGCACGAAAGAGAAAAATGAGGCCAAAGACAGTGAATGGGATGCACATTTTTCTATTCTTTAAAGTGGTATTTCATGTAAAAGAGCACAAAGATTGTGGTGGAAAATATTTCTACTAGAATAACACTCTAGTAACTAATTCAATTGAGAAATGTAAAAAAGGGGCTTTAGGATATATCCTTGAGTTAGCATAACCTTTACTTTGATCGGTCTTTTTTTTAAATCTGTGGTGACTTTAAGTTGCCAGAAGAGGACTGCTATGTGCTCTCAGGTGGTTTATTTTAATTTGTGGGAGAAGTTAATCAGGTGGTTCTTGGATGCTCCGCATTAGAGTTCAATTTCCTCAATCTGTGGTGTCAAAAACCAATCCAC